CAGGCTGTCGACTTACAAGACCCTGGCACCCCATTGCAGCACTGCCCTTTTCCATCTGACAACTTCATTAATTTTCCGTCATTGGTGGCTATGAGGTAGATTTTCAGTAGATACGTTCGACATCAACGGCCTGTGAAAGTGAATGTATAAGCCTGGTTTTGGAAGAGTTGGGATTAGGGTTATCTCTGAAGAGTAGGTATTTGGGCTTTGTATGAGCAGCAGGGGGGCCTCCTAGGTCCAATTGCACCTGCTCACATCCACTGCTGGAGGGAAACTAATAAGGGAGCACCAGGGAGAACACTGTTGCTATAGTGTAGGAGGCCGGAAGAAAACACAGGTGTGGATGCCCAGATCAATGTTTGTCTTTATGTGAGTGAGGGGTGGCATCTTTCACAAATGACTACTCTCTGTATGTTTTTTGTGTCAGAACAGGGAGGTGAAACAGCCCCTGGGAATCACGTCACTTGCTCTCAACCAACTGCATTCAGAGGGATATGTAGAGAGGATCTATCATCGCAAGGCCCCCAACAAGAAAGAAAAAAAAAGACCGGCAGTCAAATTTGTCTCCCCAAGGTGATGTGACTCCATCATACCTAACGCTTCTCCCTCAGTGGATGAGGGATGCCAGGATTTACACTATTACAGGTAGGGGTGGTGATTTATTTTGGTTTTGCCATTAGAGTGGCAGCAAGTTCTATTTATGTTTGCGCTACCAATAGATCTACACCTGCATGACAGATGTGTGTGTTTTCAGAAGTTCACCTGGCACTGACATCAAAAGCAATGATGACAAGTTTGCATTAACCTTTGCGATCAAGTAAAAGTGATGAATTCTTTAGATGCGGTTAAACTGTCACGTGTAAGGAATTCAAAGAGTTTTCTCAACTCCATTGCCGTTTACCCCACGCCTTGCATATCAAAGTACACTTAGAAGATATTTGCAACAAACACTTATTATGCACAGAGTAATTTCCCTGATAAGGTAATAGAAATAGATGGATAGATAGATGGATAGGGGATTAAGAGATCCTTAATTCGTCCTATGGTGGGGAAATTTCAGTGTTCCATCACCAGTTTCAGAACAGTAATGAAGACCACACAACACAAAATAAATGAACAATAACTATTCTAATAAAACATTTAAAACATTTCTAACTTTAGCATAAAAGAAACACGTATAACATCTCTATCTTTAACATAATGAAGAAAGAAAGAGAGATTACGACAGATAGATAGATTGATAGATACAGTAGAACGGTATAGAAAGGTGGATGGAGCTATAGATAGAACAATATAGAACAATATATAGATAGAACACTGTCCCCTCTTCAAAATGTAAGATATATGTAAAAAGATCTAACTTTATACTATGTTTGCATCAAAATCAAACTGCACATACAGTTATGGTGAATAGGATTAATGATCATTAATTAATAATAGTTATTCATCCATAATGTGGTTCAACACTTAGTTTCTTTCTTATTTAAAGTTAAGGCTAGAGAAAACAATGTAAAAGGAACCGATTACCATTTCAGCACTACATAAGAAGGACAGCTCCCTTCAAGGCTATGAGCCAAAGTACACGGGGCTGTAGTGAGAACTCAGGACTTCATACAATCATAGGCACACACGCACACGCACACACGCACACAAACCGCAGCCCGACACTGAGCGCGCCTGGGATGGCAGTGGCATCCTTGAATTCAAAATTACCCCTCTAAATATTTAATTCTTTACATCAAATATTACTGAAACATTACTATGGCACACAGATACACGTGCTAAATATGGCTGTATCAAAGGTCGTGTGTGCAGTCAAGCATATTAACACATCAAAGCCTCACTACTATTTGGAGAGGATAAAAAGCAATACTCTGCCAATCTATGGAGTACGCCGGATGCCCGCGCTCTCAAGGGCGCGCAGCAAAGGCAAGCAGTGCCACACGAGCGCGCGCGTCTGCCTTTTTCTCTTGTCTAAATCCATCCAATGTGTGCTATATTATTTTCCATTCATTTATTGGCTGTGATAGAGATAAAAGCCTCATAGGACATGCCCAAAAGCAGCTTACCCCATTTAGGTTTGAGGACCGAATGACAAATTAATGATTTTGTACAAGAACTCACAGCAGCGTTGAATAAGATCCTCCCGTATAGACATTTAAACACTAACTTACTTGTTCATGGAGAAAAAACGTGAGCAGGATCCGGTTTTTTGTTAAGACGGTGAACAAGGCATCTCTTCCTCCCTCAGAAAGAAACGGCATTCAAAAAGAAAAAAGAAAAATCCAATTCTGTGGCAATTTCGCTGAATCCGTAGTGAGAGTTTGTCATCAAAAGGATGGTGTTTTCCTCCTCGTATGTAATCCACACACTAGTTTAGATGGCAGCTTAATAACTCTCAGTGATCACATCGCATTCCGTCTTTTTCACGGGAGGAACCCACAAGTGCCACACTCAGAAAGGGGGGAACTCTCTAGTCCAAAAGCAACGAAGCTTCGAGCCAAAAGGATAAGGAGATAAGGGATTATTTGGTGTTGAATGAAGGGTCCTTATTTGAGCCAAGACAAAAACCACTAAGCGAGTCAAAGTTCTTAAGGGTTAACAGAAACGCATTACAGCAACCGGGTCTTTGTGATGTGTAACTTTTTTTCTCCATGTCATCTTTGATTAGATTTCACGTCACAACCCAGTGCGCATCCCTAAACGCTTTCCTTTCAGCGGTAAACGTCCATGCGTAAAACATCCAACATTTGACCCTGGAATTACCCTATTAAAGTTGAGAATCATTTTCCCTTTTGTTTCATCTGGAGGAAAATCCAACTCGTATCCCAAAAAAAAGGAGAGAAATGAGCCTTAATGCTTTTTAAGGCTCAATTGTTTCACGTTTCTTCGAATAGCTCGCTCATAATAAGTCAGCATAAATAGTTCACGTCTGTTCTCTCTTCTCCAAATGCGTGCGTTATCCAGCGGCCGTTGCAAAGATGAATTTCTCTTCCTATCCACAGAAAAAAGAGGTGAAGAAGAGAAAGCTCCGTTTACCTTCCCTTGGTCGTCCGCAGTGTGTGTTCAAGCAGCTTCAACAGAGATGTGATCGCAAATTACCCTGGTCGCGCCGACACCATCCTCCAAGGCGCGTAACAGAGGAGGCTCCGCGCGCTATGCCCAGCTCATATAGACACTCAACAACCCCGCAGCAGGAGAGCACGCACACGGAATGGATAAGTGCAAGAGGGGACCATCATGTAGGTTACCTCCCACTGACAAGCACCGCTCCTTGAGTCTGACCAGTCCGTCACTCACTGCAGTATAAATGCTGTTTCCACTCACCGCTTTTTCAAATTGCAGCCAAAGCCTTGACATCGTGTGAAAAGTTGAGATTTTCCATTTTATCCATTGCCCAGTTTTATTAATAGTGAGAAAATCTTATGGAAAAAAAAAAAAAATCTTCCCCAACAGCGCGCGTCTGTGCATCTGTGTGAGCTTGAAGAGAGAGATTCCTCCCATGCGAGTAGGACACGACTGCCACCTACCGACCCCCCCTTATGCACTCGTCCAGGACCAGAGCAGAGAGAAATAATGAGTGTGATAGTGGCCTCGGGCTGATTGTCGCATAGGAGCAATGTCCCATGACACACCACGTTTCATTTGGATAGAAGATGGAGACAAAGTGTAGATTAAAATGCTCAGGGGCACTGTATAAAAGATAGGTGCACTGTTGTTTTATAGGGCTGAAAGGTAAACACGCTGTTGTGAGGTTATGGCATTGTCTCGAGAAGGACAGACTCTGCCAAACACTACCTGTGACTCCGACACATGTACCAACACCAACACATGGCAAATACAACTCTGCAGTTATAATCACAGCAGGACTTTGTGTGTCTGATATGTCAATGTGTCGTCCCGCCATTGAAACAGTGGTCACAATATGGAATATGTGGACTACACAATCACTCTAATGTCACGTATCTATGAAAATAAATGTACATCAATACATGAAACATAATACTTGAGGAATAGATATAATAAAACATAGCCTATATAAGATCCTTAATTCTTATTGTCAAGATGAAACCTATTTTTTGGTTTTTATAAATACATGTTGTATGCCACAGCAAAAAGGGTATGTTGAACATTTTGGAAAACAAATCAGACCACAACATGCTGTCTCCATATTGTAAGAATATTTTCACTGAAAAATCTGATTTAAATATGTGACAGAGGCAAAAACCTGCATTTGAAAAGAAGTCATAGAATCTTACTGTTGTGAGAGCCAGAAACTAGTTACATGGATGTTAGTAGGTTCATATATATTTTCAACATTATATGTACTGTATGTATTTATTACTCTTGCACCATATGCCAAAGCAAACTCATAGTTCCTTACTTGCAATGGTAAAAAAAAATAATTCTTATTCCGGCTTTTAAATGTCAATATATGATTTCCAGCATCATGATACTGAATTAAATCTTTCTTGCGTTCTCAGAATAGAAGTCAAAGTCGAGTAAACATAACACAGAGAAACACGTGTGCGTCTCTCAGGACACACACAGAGAGGGCAGCAGGTCAGCCAGTCACAGAGTACACAATACATAACGCATCGGGGGCCTTATCTCGGTCCTCAAAGGGCCTTATGGCTGCAGGTTTTCATTCCAACCAAGCGGGAGCACATCAGACCCCACCCATTTCTTCAAGTGTTTCCAGTCTGTGTGTGTGTGTGTGTGTCCATCACTATGCATGATAGACAATAAAGTTATTCTATTCCATAATTGTGTTCTACTAAAGACAATTTGGCACAGCTAAATCCACTCCTGGAAGTCCGATCTTAACTTCATCAATAGCCTCACATTGTACATAATATTATTGCATACAGTAGATATTTCTGCTGATGTCTGGTAATATCTGTTTCCCTCTTGGTGTGTTCTCTGCCTTTGCGTATCAGTACATGACCCTTTTTACAATATGCTGCAGGTTAGAGGGTAATGTTCTGACTGCCCCTGACCACAGCCCCAGCAGCTCCAGCAGCTCCAGCAGATCCAGTTCAGAGCCCTGTGGCATGCTGGGAGACTGAGTCATTTGTCCTGACCTTCCGCTTGACTTCTGAAGCAGTGAGCGCTGACGGGTAATCCAGCTATGGCAGTTCCAACATTGAAATAGAAAGTCGTCAAAACAGTCAGGAACCATTCATCTTAATTTTAGCAACTTCAAGCTTAACTAACTACGGGGGGAGGATTCAAATTCGACAGATATAGTTTGTTTATAGCTCTATTTTTTTTAATGACTGCTGTTACGGGCCAGGCCCTTACTGTCCAGGAAAGGGAGCTGTCTGGGGTTTGCCTGCCTTCTCTGCTGTCCTCTGTGCAGGTCCACACCTGCACCATGCCACGCCCATCATCAATGGGTTTTTTCACCTGGGAGCTGAGAGCTGCTCACTCTCCTCCTCGCCTCCTGTCCTCCTGTTCTCCGGTGCTGCTGCTCGGCTGAGTCCTGTCTTGGTGGGCTCTTGAGCCACCATGTCCATTCCTTTGTTGCATATTTGAGTTTGTCTTTTGGTTTATGCACCACATTCACTGCACACCACATTCACTGCACACCACACACAGGCTTTCATTTGCACTCACACACCTGCACCACACCCTGATTACAACATGCTCACATCCCATACCTTGGTTTTTGTTCATGTTATACTCTTTTTGTTATTATTAAAAATACTTGTTGCACTTTTTACCCCCGTTTCGCCTCTCTATTTGTTGCGGCCCTGAGCCGGGCATAACACTGCTTGAGTTAAAGTGTTGGTTAATTTTGCGTTTATTGTGACGTGTTGTGTTGTACCTTATTTACATATTTTTAATGCACTTCACAGAATAGGTTCCAGACACAGAGAGGGCTGACTCTCAATGCACGACACGTCATAGTATTATCAAAAGATAAATAAATGAATAAATATGATGTTATTATTGTGATGAAATATGGAACATAAATTGAGAATTATTGCAGTTTTTTATGCATCAACCAGATGATGATGATGATGATGGTAAAAATAGGGAATGTCATGTGAAAATGTGAATCTTTTTGCAGTCGCTTAAATGTAGTATTGATAACGGGGAAGGAACCTATAAGCTTTTTTTCTTCTGCCTTCTCCTTTAGAGCTTTTTTTCTAGATTTATATGTATCTATAAAAAAACATTGTGGAACTGTTCAAATAAAACTACTACACACTTATTTGCCTTTAAAAATTAACTTTACTTGATCCGTGGTGAAATCTAAATGATGATGATCCGCCCCTAAGAAAACCAGGACACACATTTTTGACATAACAACCTTCTCATCTAACTCAGTTCTTTTCTGCATGTGGAAAACAGCCTCATCATGCATACGCAGCAAGGACACTTCTTAAGCCAGTGAATGAAGGCATGAACACGCACATTCTGTCTGAAGTCTCCTACAGCGAGGAAACAAGTCTAAATGAGAAGGAAAGGAAGCATAAGGCCACCAAGGTATCATATGCAAAGCAGTCCCACCCAAGTCCATTCCCCTGCAGTGACATTACCATCACACTGCAGAAAAGGCTTGGAGCAGCTAACGGGAGCTGTCGGAGAGGAAAAGAGGAAAGAGGAGAAAGTGACGCAAGCAAGGTTTAAGAAAAGAAAGCATGACCTGCCAAGTTACAGAACACTTTGTTATGTAAAAACCCAGGCCGAGAAGTGGGACAGAGGCGAGACTGCGCCATGTGCAAGGTTCGCACGATTATTTTTGTCTTGGGATATAAATGCTAGAAAGCCAAATAAGGAAAAGCTGTGAGGGAAGAATGACTACACTAATTTACACATCACTGCTGAAACTTGGAAAACTAGAATACTGTTAAAAAGTTTTATTTCCGGAATACCACTAAAAATGTGTAGCAAAAATATGATATAGAGTCTAGACTCATCACGTGCTAAAAGACAAATACCAAGCCTTTATTTAGGAAAACTTTCTGAGATGTCGTATTCGTTTTTGTTTTTTAACAAAAGGCAAGGCAAGGCAAGTTTATTTGTATAGCACAATTCATACACAAGGCAATTCAAAGTGCTGAACAAAACAAGATAGCATTAAAATCATAAATAATCACAGTACATTAAAAAGAAAGATAAAAATATAAAATATACAATTCCTCAGTTGTATGCACAGCTAAACAAAACTGTTTTTAACCTTGTTTTAAACATTGTCAGAGAGGTTCGTCTCACATCTTCAGGAAGATTGTTCCAGATTTTAGCAGCATGAATCTGAAATTGTGCCTCCCCATGTTTAGTTCTGACTCTGAGCATTAACAAGAACCCCGTCCCTGTGCTCCTCAGAGTCCGGGCTGGTTCATATGGTACTAACATGTCACTAATATATTTTGGTGCGAGGCCACGGAGAGACTTTTACACAAGCAGAGCTGTTTTAAAGTCTATTCTCTGAGCCACAGGAAGCCAGTGCAGAGACCTGAGGACTGGACTAATGTGGTCGTACTTCCTGGTTCTAGTCCGGCCTTGAGCTGCTGCATTTTGAATGTACTGCAGCTGTTTTACAGCCTGTTTGGGCAGACCTGTGAGCAGGCCATTGCAGTAGTCTAACCTACTGGAGACAAATGCATGGATAAGAATCTCCAAGTCTGCTTTAGACACTATGTTTAATATGGTACGCGGCAGAGAACCTGCTGAGAAATCCATTATTTTAAAGTGACATTTGTTGTTTGTTTTAAGAAACCATCAACTCCTAAGAAGCTGTCAAACTTGTTATCGTCTTTCTTCACTCGGTAATATCCCCATTCATTTCCCCCGGATGTGACAATATCTGTTACGGCTGTTAGTTTTGCCTGTTTGTATGATCCTTTGAAAGCACAGGCCCAGTGCCAGGCAGATGATGTCCAGGCTGCCAGGCACAGCTGCTGTAATACAAGTTAATGTCCGTGTGTCCGAGTGCAGCGTTCAGTCTGTGTCTTCTGTGGCTCCTGTCTACGGCTGGCACTCGCACAGAACTGGAGATGTTAAGTGGAACATAAAAGCTCTGCTAATCAGCTGCAATATGGCGCTGGTGCAGCTCCAGGCATTAAACAACAGAGCCTTTGCAAGAGAGAGAGGTCATGTAAGTCGCAAGGGTGCAATGTCATTGCATTTACTGTTTCATTTGAGACTTTTACTCCCAAGTAGTTTAACAGGGCTGCTACTTTATGGTAAAGGGCTAGCCTAGACAAATCAAATCTAAGCCAATTTCAGCCATCTGTGTGATGTTTTGCCACTTGGTTTATTGGTCTGCCTTGCCAACCCAAAGCAGCCTTTGAGATCTTATACATAGTCTCACAGTGTCATCGAGCAAACTTCAGCTACGAAAGAACATTCTCAATCAAGTCAATGTTGTTTTTGTTTGGGTCACAAAATGATGGCTATGGTGCTAATTTAGGTTGTGCTAAGAGTAAAAGATTTTTATTTAAAGCCCCCCCCTGAAATAGATAGAGGATTTTCTATCGCATCTTACAGCCTGTGTCGTCGGTCCTTGGACATAGTGAACTAAAGTGGAAAAAGATTGCCCCGCCTGGTTTAGCCCATACAATAACCATCATCCACAGCACTCATTGAAGGCCCTGCTTCTACTTGCTGTACAATATGGCCAGTGTCTAATAGAGGCGTGATGAACTGCTAAGCCACGTCACACATCTCACAGCTTATGAGCTCAGATGGGTCAGGATTTAATGGAGCCCAACACATTTATTTACAGCGTGCTTGATCCGGGACTGGTTTGCATGGACGCATATTGCGAGAAACTGGATTACGGATTGTTGAGTGGTCGGACACATGTCAAAAAGCTCTCAGTGACCTTTAGGACAGCAAACACTCAATATGGAAATGCCATGACGTTCTCAGTCATGGCATTTATCAAGTAGAGCTTGAATTAATATTGATTTAATATTCCATCCATTAATAAAAAAGTATATCTTTGACATCCATGATCTAATACATGGCTTGTTTAGGAAACTTTAAAGTGACAATGAATAGTGCATTGCGGTTTACGTTACATTATTCATGCAGTTGCTACATTTGAAGGAGGAAAGCTGCCACAACTTTCTGAGATAGATTATATTACAAATCTTCACTCAGGTCCACTATGTATTATTTCCAATGAGGCACCAAATCAAAAAATCCATCATGCATAGGTTTTTATCACGTTTCATTGGCTCTAAAAAAAAAGCTTTGCCATAGACAAAATGTACAGCACATTTCCTACAAATACATGATCATAGACATAGAGAAGTATACTGTAACAAGGCTTTTTATGTTATGCATTACACTTTCACTCAATACAAGCTGGTGATCACCTGATAAGCTACTTGAGCTGCACGATATATAGAAAAAATACTGTTGTCGCTCAAAAGGAAAGTGCAGTATTGATATTGCAATGTGCAATAATCTATTTTTTCAAGCATAATCATCTCCTTTGTCATTTTCTGCTAAAGCCTATTAATTTACTATTTTATGGCAGTGCAAAATCTTTATAGAGCCACACATTGCTTATAGAGCTACAGTTCAAAGTCTCAAGAAAAATTTGAGCAAAAGTGTACATCTATGAAAAGAAGTGAGGCAGCGCAGTTTATACATTATCATTGAAGAAAGAAATGGAGCTGAAAATGATAAGTGATCGACATGAGAAAATATGTGACCCACTCTCATGTACAGTACAGCTACAGTTCATAAGGCAGGGCGGCTTGAGAGCTGATAGTACATTTAAAAAGTAATGAAAAAGAACATGCGCACCTTCTCTCCCTATAGTAGTGTGGAAGTGACAAACTGTAGACGGTGGCCCAAGATGTGTTCGAATGACCCCAGGGTGCTTTATAATCCATCCATCAGTCACTCTTCCATTAGACCTGTTCCACACCACTGCCCTGGATTGTGCTCCTGCTCTGCGGACGCTCGCTTTCTGCTGACATCCTCCCATTCTCAACAAAGGACATGTTTTAGACTGTAGCGGCCTAGCTTAAAGGCGCTCATGCAGAAACAGGCGCTCAGACGGACGGTATAAAGACCAGTGGGAGTTGGGAAAAATAAAATTATTAT